TTCCAGACTGAATTTGAAAAAGATAACATTATCTGTCTTAGTCCTAATTTTCTTTGATATTTTCTCTATATAATCACTGAAAGAGGTTTTATTTGACTAATCAACGTTTTAATTGAGTTTCTAGTCAAGTGTTTGGAAGAGTTTTTAAGTAGTTTCAGTACTTACATACCCAATATCCTGTTTTTCATCACTTTTTTTCAAAGATTTTAAGATCGACATAAAACACACTGAGAATAATATTTAATGATTGGTCTTCACCCTCAAACACACTGGTTGAGGCATTAAAAGTAAGATTTAAACCAATGGCATCAGGTAGAACAACAATACCACATTATATCTTTCCTCTTTAAAACCTTTTTCACATTGACAAGCTATTGAACTGCATATGATACCTTGACTGCAATAGCCACCTTTCTTGTATCAGAGAAGTCTGTAAATGCAGCCATTTGATTGGATTGTACGCTAGCTAATACAGCCAATCAGAAAAATCAACAGAAAGACTGCAAACAATTTGTCAGCGCTTGAAATCATAGGTTATTGTGAAGATGCTTTGAAACTAGGGCACTGCTTTCTGTATGTTACCCGAAAAATCTGGATTCCTTTTCCTTTGCCCCCAATTACTTTTGTTGTTACACCAATACCTTGTGACTTATTGGTCTAATTTTCCACAAAAAAGTCAGTTTATGAGAATTTAAGAGAGTTTATGAGAGTAATGAAGTAAACTTGCCGTAACAAAATAAATATTGTCAAAACATCAATTATCATTGAGTGGTTTGGCCTGCTACAACAGGTTGAAAACTATGATTTGTAAATATCGCTGGATATATATCAATGCCAGGATAAGATATAAGTATGTTCGAGCCATTGGATTGGTTTATAGCAACAACTCCATTGACCAATCAGATTTCTACAAATTATGAAGTTATGATGAACTCTAGGCCAGGTTAAAGCCAACATGAAACCTGAACTCTAGACCAGGTTAAAGCCAACCTGAAACCTGAACTGTAGACCAAGTTAAGCCACCCTGTAACATGAACTGTAGACCAGGTTAAGCCACCCTGTAACATGAACTGTAGACCAGGTTAAGCCACCCAGTAACCTGAACTCTATACCAGGTTAAAACCAACATGAAACCTTAACTTTAGAACAAGTTAAGCCACCCTGTAACATGAACTATAGACCAGGTTAAAGCCAACCTGAAACCTGAACTGTAGACCAGGTTAAGCCACCCAGTAACCTGAACTCTATACCAGGTTAAAACCAACATGAAACCTTAACTTTAGAACAAGTTAAGCCACCCTGTAACATGAACTGTAGACCAGGTTAAAGCCAACCTGAAACCTGAACTGTAGACCAGGTTAAGCCACCCTGTAACCTGAACTGTAGACCAGGTTAAGCCACCCTGTAACCTGAACTGTAGACCAAGTTAAGCCACCCTGTAACCTGAACTGTAGACCAGGTTAAGCCACCCTGTAACCTGAACTGACTATGTTGATGTTTATTATGATATGTGTAATGATTAAGATAAACCATGTGTTAAAATCATGAGGTCTGGTGGAAATATATCTGTTACCACATGTATAGAGCTGTTTTGTTTCTAGCCAACTACCACCTTCAAAATGTGGCTTTATTGACCACCCTTGAACAGTGTGTATTTAGCTGGCCTACCATCCTTCAGGTGTATGTTTCTAGCCGGCCTACCATCCTTCAGGTGTATGTTTCTAGCCGGCCTACACCCTTGAAATGTATTTTTCTAGCTGGCCTACCATCCTTCAGGTGTATGTTTCTAGCTGGCCTACACCCTTGAAATGTATTTTTCTAGCCGGCCTACCATCCTTCAGGTGTATGTTTCTAGCCGGCCTACCATCCTTCAGGTGTATGTTTCTAGCCGGCCTACCACCCTTGAAATGTATGTCTATAGCAAGTCTACCACCCTTCATCTTCACAATGTCTAGCTACTTCATCATATACCTTGACGGCAATAGCCACCTTTCTAGTATGACAGAATGCAGTGATTTGATTGAAATGTACGCTAGTGAATACAACCAATCAGAGCCCTTAACATAATTAGACTGCAACCATTATGGCTAATGGTTTATAGATTGTCTGTCAAAGGCTTTCATTGGCTGTATTCAGTAGAGAACAATTCAATCAAATCGCTGCATTGACAACCTTCCATAATACAAGAAAGATGGCTATTGTAGTCAAGGTATAAGTACAAAATTTGTAACCGCATAACATGAAGACGACCACTCTTGTAATGTTTGTTTCTGGCTGGTCAACCACCCTTTCATTTGGTTTTCTATTAACTTCATGCAGCAATTCAATTTAATCAAAATTCTACATCTTTAAAAATTATCTCAGTTCAGAAGTTCAGATATCTTTCTCCTATCTTTAAGAATATAAAGAATATTTAGAATTCTACAATGCAACATGTACATATACAATACTCTTACAGTCTACATGCACATGTTATGAATGGCACATGTTATAAGTCTGATGAAGGGAACGATGAATTAATACAATGGTAAAAATCAATGTCAGGAAATAAAATGAAATGAATGGAATTTTACGTCCCACTATTCTGCGCCATGTGGGCTAATGAAAACGGGCAACACCACCATGCAGGGTTCAATGAAGGAAATTTTACCAGGACAATGGCATGCTCTTTTTGGATTTCCAACTATCGAAGGATCTTTAAGGTGCACAGCCTGTTAAACACAGGGCCTCCGTTTATTGTCCCATCCAAACAACCAGACGCTTTGTCCATGTCAGCCCCTCTTACCTGCATCACTGACAGGGAGAAACTGGGTTGAAAAATCGAAGGTATCATCTGGACCTATGAGTCGAGGTCAGCAGAAACGGGTGCAATAATTTTTTAGAACAAGCTTACACAGGATCTGATTCAGTCTAAGGGTACAAACATCTGTATCATTACATAATCTTATTGTTGTTGTTTATCTTGTTAAAGAGAGTCTAAATAGCTAATAATATTTATTTGACACTCTGCATCCCTTTCAGAGAGTTCACATAGATAATAATGTTGATTTGGTATATTCCTTGAAGATATAGAATCAGTATTAAAGGGATTTTAAAGAGGTTTTCTAAATTTTGTATGTGTATCAGGGGCACTAATAGCATCAATTTTCACCATTCCTATTGTAAATCAGATGTCTGTGGTTCCTGCAATTCTACCAAGCACTTCAGAATATAACTAATCGAAAATATGCTTTATCACACATGGCCCTTCGAGATTAGTGACATCATCAAGCACCTACTAGTAGTTTTAGAGGAATTGCAGGAAGACAGACATCTGATTGAAAATTGCAATGGTGCTATCAGACAGCTGGTTTGGAAATGTTTAATTTTTAACTAATGCTTCACTACTATGTTGCTCAATTGTTGTTAAATCTTACCAGATGCACATGTAATGGATGTGCAAAAAAAATTATTTCAACTGCTATCTGGGTGTATGCTAATAAAATCTCTGAAGAGATGCACACATGATGAATGTGTTAAAACTATCTACTACAATACTATACTGTACTTAGGAGGTGTGTTACCCAATCTTGTTAGATTTCTACCAGATGCAAGTGAAATGTATGTGCGTATCAGATGTAAGATAATCTAGTAATTAAGACCAGGTAAAGAAATGGTAAAGTTCAGGTGTTGGAACGCCAGTGTGTGTGTTATATTAGAGAACATGTTGTAGACAAATGGCACAATTCAGAGTTTATTGGAATATAAATATTTTCTAGATCAAGTTTCTGATATAAATTATATCATTTCTTTATCATGTCTGGTAGTATTTTATACCTTTTTTCTTCCTCTTCTAGTTCTATAGTAAGTATTGTGGAGAGATGACAGGACTCTGTATTTAGCTTCAAGCTTAACTAGAATAAAGAATAGGGATAGAGCATGCTTCTTAATAAGCTCTGTCTCCAGCTTCCACCTTTACTATAATAAAAGAGAGATGGCAAGGCATACACACCCTTCGCAATGTCAAGCTATTACGAACTTTGCACTTATAGCCACTATTCTTGTGTCATAGAATGCAGTGATTTGTTGGATTGTATGCCAGCGAATACAGCCAATCAGATCTCTTGACAAAAAGATAGAGGCTGGGAACATTATGGATGTATGTTCACATACTTTCTGTCAAGGTCTCTGATTGGCTGTATTCAGTAGCGTACAATCCAATTAAATCTCTTTATTTACAACCTTCCAAGACACAAGAAAGGTGACTATTGCAGTCAAGGTATAAGTACAAAGTTGGTAATAGCTTGACATTATAAAAATGACAAATAAGGTATCTAGATCAGAATTTTATTTGTAAATAATATTTTATTCATATAGAAAATGAAAGGGATTGAGGAACAATCAAACAAGGAAATTTAATTTTAGTCTATAAAAATTCAAAAATGTTTTCATTCATGTTGTAATATCATCATCATTCAGTATCTATTTATAATTCACTTTATCTCAAATATTTCCTGATGAATTACTTTACTATTTCCTCTCTTCAGTTTAAAATTTTCTTTAATTAATCCTTTATCATATAATGTAACACTTTCATTTAATCCTTTATCATACAATGTAAAACTATCATTTAATCCTTTATCATACAATGTAAAACTATCATTTAATCCTTTATCATACAATGTAAAACTATCATTTAATCCTTTATCATACAATGTAAAACTTTCATTTAACCCTTTATTACACAATGTAAAACTTTCATTTAATCCTTTATCATACAATGTAAAACTATCATTTAATCCTTTATCATACAATGTAAAACTTTCATTTAATCCTTTATCATACAATGTAAAACTATCATTTAATCCTTTATCATACAATGTAAAACTTTAATTTAATCCTTTATCACACAATGTAAAACTTTCATTTAATCCTTTATCATACAATGTAAAACTTTCATTTAACCCTTTATTATACAATGTAAAACTATCATTTAATCCTTTATCATACAATGTAAAACTTTAATTTAATCCTTTATCATACAATGTAAAACTATCATTTAATCCTTTATCATACAATGTAAAACTATCATTTAATCCTTCATCATACAATGTAAAACTTTCATTTAACCCTTTATCATACAATGTAAAACTTTCATTTAATCCTTTATCATACAATGTAAAACTTTCATTTAATCCTTTATCATACAATGTAAAACTTTCATTTAACCCTTTATCATACAATGTAAAACTTTCATTTAATCCTTTATCATACAATGTAAAACTTTCATTTAACCCTTTATCATACAATGTAAAACTTTCATTTAACCCTTTATCATACAATGTAAAACTTTCATTTAATCCTTTATCATACAATGTAAAACTTTCATTTAACCCTTTATCATACAATGTAAAACTTTCATTTAACCCTTTATCATACAATGTAAAACTTTCATTTAATCCTTTATCATACAATGTAAAACTTTCATTTAACCCTTTATCATACAATGTAAAACTTTCATTTAATCCTTTATCATACAATGTAAAACTTTCATTTAATCCTTTATCATACAATATAAAACTTAAATTTATTTAACCCTTTATCCCACTTTCAATTCAATATCTTATTAACACCAATGGATAGAAAATAAAATTGGAAGTGTTCATTTGGTGCTAAAATCAAAATGTCCCCCTTTCCCTTGCTATCATTCTTCTTTCAAACCTTGTAAGAAATTTGAAAATCACAAGGTTTTAAGCTTCAATTCACACTGAAGATAAAACTCTGTGGAATTATTCTGTTGATTTGCAGGCCAAATGGAAGCAGGCTGGAACAGGAAGTTAAATAATTTAACAATTCTCATATCTTACCTATATTTAAATGCGCGGTTTGTATCTTGGAAGGTTGCCATTGAACTCTTCATTTAAAGAAGATAAGAAAATAAAGGTACGTTAAGTTTAATAACAACTCGTGTCTATCTTCCGCTTCGTATTTTAAAATGATTTTTAACGACAAACCATTTGTCTACCTGGTTTTTCAGTTTTTCACAAACATCTCTAACTGTTTTAACTATCACACATCAGCCAAAACAATCTTCAATTCAAAACGCCATATTTCACTTGGTACACAGCCAGAAACGCTGTGTTTTGGTATAGTCAGGGACATCTCCCCGTGCATTATTAACATTCTTGAAGGCAGTTATGACAAATAGGAACATCGTGCAGTTGTCCACTTTTATAAAATTTGGAGGAGTTTCATACAAACGTAACCAAGATAAGAATTAGAATTTTAAAGATATACAGTTATCTGATTTGATAATAGAGAAATACACATTTAAACTTCATGGTTGGATTCAAAATATCTCTTTGCTGCATATGACTTTTAGCTTTTAGTCTTACTGAAAATAGTCATAATTATCCAAAACTTTCCTAATTTACTCCCCAAACATTTCAAAATTACCCCAATTTGAAAAAACACCTGCGTTAAGGTACCAGACACTGGTCAAATACTAAATACAGTTATTTTAAATAAGTATATCAAGCCAGTCTATGTGTTTTCTATCTATTTAAAACCTGATTTATTTAGAAAACAAATGTCTGGTTTCTGTTACTTTTACCTGATAAATGATGTTGGCTGATGGACTTAAAGGTGCTATACCTGATAAACTGATGTTGGCTGATGGACTTAAAGGTGCTATACCTGATAAACAATGTTGGCTGATGGTATTAAAGGTGCTATACCTGATAAACAATGTTGGCTGATGGTATTAAAGGTGCTATACCTGGTAAACTGATGTTGGCTGATGGTATTAAAGGTACTATACCTGATAAACTGATGTTGGCTGATGGTATTAAAGGTACTATACCTGATAAACAATGTTGGCTGATGGTATTAAAGGTACTATACCTGATAAACAATGTTGGCTGATGGACTTAAAGGTACTATACCTGATAAACAATGTTGGCTGATGGTATTAAAGGTGCTATACCTGATAAACAATGTTGGCTGATGGTATTAAAAGTGCTGTACCTGATAAACAATGTTGGCTGATGGTATTAAAGGTGCTATACCTGATAAACAATGTTGGCTGATGGTATTAAAGGTGCTATACCTGATAAACAATGTTGGCTGATGGTATTAAAGGTACTGTACCTGATAAACAATGTTGGCTGATGGTATTAAAGGTGCTATACCTGATAAATAATGTTGGCTGATGGACTTAAAGGTGCTATACCTGATAAACGATGTTGGCTAATGGCTGATGGAATAAAAGGTGCTGTACCTGATATAATGTAATATTTGAATTAAAGCCAACAAGCCAGATGATACCAGAATGCAACTGGATTTGCCAGCATCCCTTTTGGAGAGTCTACTTAGCAAACTGGGTTTGTTAATACAGTATAATGCTAATCATAAATCTACTTCTTAGTAATTAGCCAAATACAATTAATTATTTTGTACATTTCTCATTCATAATAATGATAAGTTAATAACATCAACAAAAAAAACTCTGGTCTTATACAAGAGGCCAGGTAAAAAAAATCTATTTTCTATTTTCTATTTTCCATCTTAACTGACATTATCTAATTAGAAGAAATATATTTTCTAACATGTAAAATTAAACATGGAATTCAGCGCTACAAGATATTTCAACTTGTCTTCCGTTCTGTATGATAGGCATGGTGCCAATGTTTTATAACATCTCCTCTCCATCTACTAGTCTAATCGTAATTTTACAGGTGTGCCATAAAGATATTGTGTTAACAACAAATCCAGTCCTACTAACAAAATTTTCCACTCAACACTGAACTGTTTTTTTCCCTTGCTTTGAATTTAAAAACCTAATTGCCTGTAAATAAATAACTAGACTCTCTGAAAGGGATGCCAAGGTGAAAAACCTCAATACCTACATAAACATTACTAGCTATGTGTACTCTCTGAAAGGTGTAGAGTTGACAAACGTAAATACCAAAATCCAAAATAAATGTCATTAGCTATGTGGACTCTCTGAATGAGATACAGAGATGACAAACCTCAATACCTACATAAACATTATTAGCTATGTGTACTCTCTGAAAGGCATGCTGAGTGGAAACACCTAAATACCAAATATATCTTAGTTATGTGGACTCTCTGAATGAGATACAGAAATGACAAAACCATTCACAGAGGGGAATCAGTGTAGATAATGAGAGATAAAATAAAATATTCTATTTCATCACATTAAATAATTAATTTATAAAACTTAGTTTAGAGAGTGCATATCAATTAATCGTATAAAATACAACCTAGTAAACAACAACTGGTGCAACTTGCAGACGAATTAAAATGGCCGCCATTAAAAGAGGAATGAATATTCATGGCGTAAGTGATATCTTAGCAACCACTCTCTTTTAAAGATTACAGCTGATTTTATTTCCGTTTATTTTGTTTACCCAAACTTACATATTTATCGCAAAATGACGTCATTTAGATTTTTTACGAGTTGAAAATTTAACTGCGTATTACTAATTAGATATATCTTATCAGAAACCCCCGGAGTTGTTATAATTTACACTTATTTTAAAATGACTGTAATATTATAAACTAGAAGTTAGACCTGTCTGGTAAAGGGTGTTATATCAATAAATAAAAATATAATAATTCATATTTAAAGGGATTACCAATTGTACCTTAGCCTGAGAAACAGGAATTTATTTAGCTAAGCCGATCAGTAACAATGTTAACAAGTCACTGTCGAAATTTGAGCCTTCAAATTCATGTATGTACAGAATTATCCATGTTTGAAAGTTAAAAATACGGTCGTCTTTTCAAGAGACACTGCCATATAGAGAAAAGGCAACTGTAGAAATAGAAAAGAAATTCCTAGTTTGAGATATTTCTGAAGACTATTTACATATATTCAAGACTCAAATCAACCTCCTAAAATGATGCACATGTCCCTTAAAGTCCGATCAATCAAGAAGAAACTGATATATGACTAACAATATAATATATAATATTTTTAAAATGACTCTAATATTATAAACTTACTGTTAGATCAAGCTCTGTTAGTGGATAATTAATTAATATATAGGTCAGATCAAGAAAGAAAGTGATATATGACTGACAATATATAGAATAATAAACAATTCAAATCAATTTCAGATTAATATATGAATTATAGTCAGACATGTTTACTGCTGTCAGAATTATTGACTGGTGTTTTTATAATCAATTGTTGACAACTGACACCAAATGCATCTTACGAACTTTGTCTTATACCTTGACTGCAATAGCCACCTGTGAAGTTTGTTAATGCTGCGATTTGATTGGATTGTACGTTAATAAGTCAATCGTATGTGCTAAAGTACAATCCAATTAAATAAAAGAAAGGTTGCCATTGCAGTCAAGGTATAAGGGGAGGTTCATAAATCCTAATAGCTTGACATTGTGAAGATGCACCAGATCTTGTCCATTAGAATTCAGTTGGGGGTTTTCATACTATAGAATATTTTTACAAAACCTGATCTATGAATTTCCTAACTTTGTACAGATGAAGACCCTCCGGCAGTATCACACAGGACACAAGGCTGTTGTTTTGAGATATTTGCCAGTTGTATCTGATTTGAGCTCTAAAATGACCGAATGGGACTTTAATTTTCAGGACAATTGGTAAAGACAAAAAAGTGCTTAGAAAAATCAAGTTGTATTTTTTTTTGTTCCATGACAGAGGTTTTGTAGATATTCAAAAAAATTCACCAACTAAAAAAAAAATTTCCTGGCAAGAATAATATAAGGAAGATGTTTAAGAGTTATCAGCCTTTAGTTTGTTATCCTAGTATAATTTAGATATTTTTTTGTTGAAGTTGGAATATAGTGTGATCTAGTGAACTCATGAACTGTTTAAAACAATGGTCCACTGTTTTCTCTATATACAGTCTACTGTATCACTCTGTAAATGTATTTACCATGTTTTTCTTGATATATACAATATATAGACCAAGACTGACATGATTATGTTCTAGTCAAACATGGCTGGTAACTACAGAACACACAAAAGTCTAGAGACCTTGTAAGATTTGACATGACTGATAAATACAGTCAAATCCACAATCGGAAGCTTTAGTCAAACATGACTGGTAAATACAGTTCACTCCAAAGTCTAGATCCCTTATCAGAAATGGCTGGTAAATAGAGTTCACTCAAAAGACAATAGCTCCAGTCTGACATGACTGATAAATACAGTCAAATCAACAGTCTAGGGCTCTAGCCAGACATGACTGGTAAATACAGTCAAATTAACACTAATAACAGTCTAGAGTTCTTGTAAGACATGACAAATACAGTTCACTTGAATATGACTGGTAAATACAACCAAATAAACAGTCTAGAGCTCTGGTCAAACATGACTAGTAAATACAGTCAAATAACACTCTAGTCTGACAAGACTGGTAAATGC